ACACAGTTGTACTGGAAATGCATGTTGTAGCGCACCTGATGTGGTCTGCATACTGCATACTGAAAACTGCACTCAACACAGTTGTACTGGAAATGCATGTTGTAGCGCACCTGATGTGGTCTGCATACTGCATACTGAAAACTGCACTCAACACAGTTGTACTGGAAATGCATGTTGTAGCGCACCTGATGAAATGAAATGAATGAATGAAATGAAATGAAATGAAATGAAATGAAATGAAATGAAATGAAATGAAATGAAAATCCTTTATTTCAACAGGCAAAGTTAGGGCCACATGGCCCTTTCTTACACTTAACCTGCATACATAATTATAAATAGAAAATACATTTACATACATTAAAATCACATTATTTACACAAAAACAATACTTTTTTGATAAAACGAAAACAAAATGCCTAACAACAACAAAAAAGTCTCACACACTCAGTCAGCAATTACGCAAGTGCCAAAACAGTCCTAGAACGCACCAGCCGAGGCCATACGCTCAAAATACATTTTTTTCAGTGCCGCCACGAACCGAGGACGACTATCAAGCATTTTGATGGATAAAGGTAAGTTGTTCCAAAGACGGCAGGCAGTTACAACAAAGGCCCTGTCATATGCTGTACTCCTATGATGAGGTATGCGTAACGTGAAAGATGCAGTGCGTGAACTCCTCAAGCTACCTTCGGCTACAAAGCTAAAGTCCCCTTCAAAATATTTTGGCAATCTATTTTTTAAAATTGAGAATGCTAACATGGTGATTTTAAGTAGCCTCTGATCGTTCAACTTTAATATTTTTGATTCAATGTAGAAAGGTGTAATGTGTTCAAAGCGTCTTAAATCAAATGCAAATCGCAAGCAATAATTCTGCGAGCGTTGCAGGACACCAGCAAGACTAACAGTCATGTCATTGATCACAGAGTTGCAGCAAGTGAAGTGGGGAAATACGAGTGATTTGACAAGGTGGAGCTTTATGTGCAATGGCAAGAAAGTTTGCAATCTCTTTAATGAATGTATTGATGAGAACACCTTTTTACGAATGTCAATCACTGCATCTCCCCAAGTGTGTGTAGTGTTGAGAGTCAGTCCCAAGTTTTTCACTTTGTCACAGTATGGTAGTTCAGTACCGTTAACAGTGATTGGATTTGTAGCATGAAAGTCAATTGAGCCTTGCAGTCGTTTATGGCAGATAATGATGGGTTTGGTTTTGTCATGATTCATTTTAAGTCCATGTTTATCGGTCCATTCAATGATTCGTCCAATGTCTTCGTTAATGTTTGAAACACAATAGTTAATGTTATCGGCGTTGAAGTGAGAGTAAATTTGTAGGTCGTCAGCGTACATGTGGTATTTACAGTGAGTGAGAGTTGTGCCAATGTCATTGATGTACAGTACAAAAAGTAAAGGCCCAAGGATTGACCCTTGAGGCACACCACATGTAACTATCTCCCAGTCTGATCTCAAGTCATCAACCTGAACACACTGCCGCCTATCTGACAGATATGATCTTAACCATTCAAGAACACTATCAGAAAATCCTATGGCCCTTAATTTTTGCAATAATAGTCTGTGATTTACACAATCGAATGCTTTAGAAAAATCAAATAAGGTAAGAATCGTACCCTGTCGACGTTCCATTGAGAGTCTAATGTCATCTGTAACTCGAAGAAGTGCTGTTTCTGTACTGTGACCTTTGCGAAAACCAGATTGATAGTGAGAGAGGATGTTATTTTCAGTCAAAAAGTCAGTAATTTGACAGTGTACGATTCTTTCTAGGCCTTTAGATAGAGCGGGCAAAATACTAATCGGCCTGAAATCCTGACAGGATGATGGTGCTGCGATCTTATTTAATGGGCGAATGAGGGCAGACTTCCAAGATGAAGGAAATGATCTTTGTCTCAAAGACGTATTGAAAATATGCGTAATAGTTGGAAGAATGGCAAAAAGCATATCTTTGATGAATCGTATTGGTATACCGTCAGATCCGACTGCATTGCTACGAATCCGGCGAATAGCCTTTAAAACATCAGATTGAATAACAGGTTTAAAAGAAAACATTGGTATTGTATATTCCAACCCTTGGTCCAATGAGTTAACCAACTCATTAACGTAGTTATTAACTGGTTGTTGGTTGATATTTTGACTATACGAGGAAAAAAAGGTATTCAATTCGTTAAGAGATATATTAACTGGTTGTGTATCAGTTTGTTTCCCAAGCCCAAGACTTTTTACATTGCGCCATAAAACTCTGGAAGACTGATTTTTATCTCCAAAAAGCTTGTGAATGTATCTTAATTTTGAGTTTCTCAGCAGTTGTTTGACTCTATTACGTAGACGGCGATATTCATCAAATTCAATTAGATCTTGGGATCGTCTTGCTCTCCGATAAAGACAGTCACGTCTGGCCATCAAAGAGCGTATCTCAGGCGTCATCCATGGTACAGGTTGCAGTTTTGTTAAACGTTTTGTAATTATAGGTGCATGTTTATCAAGGAGATCATTTATGGTACTATTAAGCTCACAGACCATTAAATCAACAGAGTCAAGATTTTCGATGGTGTGCCACGGTATTTGCTGTACGTCCAACATAAACTGTGCCTCATTCATGTTCTTGAAATCTCTATACTTAACGAATTTTGTCTTGGGTTTAGGAGCTTTAACCGAATACACACAGTAGATAAGGTCATGTTGGGATACTGCTGGAACGGGAAGCTGCCCATGATGTAAAATTTCTTGTGGATCAGAAACAACTATTAGGTCGAGGAGTGTGTCAGACTCGGCAGCATGATGCGTAGGTCCAAGTTGGAGTATACTTAAGTTGCATGAATCGAATAATGTAGTCAGATGTCTGTATTCATAGTTCTGGTTCGTTTGTAGTAAATTTGTGTTAAAGTCACCCATGATCAAGACATGACTATATCTAAACATTAGGTGCAAGAGTGCATTCTCAAAGTCTAGCAGCTGTCCAACTCTAGGAGGGCGATAACACACTCCCAGCAGCAAGGAATCTGCCCCAGACAAACTAATATCTATGAATAAGAATTCTGGCTTTGCCGAGTACTCCGAAGGCGACGAGTTGACAGATGAACATTTTAGTCCCTCCCTGACATACACCGCAACTCCTCCACCCTGCTTTCCCGTCCTGTCATTCCGATGCAGAATATATCCCGGAAGGGACACCTCGGCCGTCGGGATACTCGGTTTCAGCCAAGACTCAGACACCGCAATCAAGTCAAAATCTCTATGTTGAAAAATCTCACGCACCTCATCAATATGAGCACGCAATGACTGAGCATTGATATGCGCCGCCTTTAGCTTCTTGGGGTAAGGAGATAAGGAGTGAGAGAGATAGTCAGCGGTTGATAGTGGGTGCTGGGGGAAGGGTGAGGGGGGAGTGATAAGCCGGTCGGTGTGACGAGCACTATGAGGACGTGGACTCTCTATCCCGGGTCCACGAGCTGTAGCACCACGACAGGCACATCCCGGACACAAGCACGTAACGCAATTTCTGACTCATTCACACACACATTCACATCTAAATTCACAAATCTAAAAAAACAATAATCTCCATTACAAAAATAAATACATGAAACTAAATACTTAACTAAAATCAATTTAATTAAAACATAACTAATAATCAATTTAATTACGTACTTCACTCGTACATTGTATTTGGCTCCGCAACAAGATGAGTTAAGCTATTCTTGTCATTGTTTAGTGCTAAAAAGAAAATTAATAATTTACAACCAAAATGCGTATGTTTTTTATATAATGAAAGCAAATAAATTATTAATGCTTTGGTTTGAACTGTAACCATTCTAAAGAAACTAAAAATGCAAAAAAAACTAAACTCATTCCTAAAATTAAATTAGATAAATAAAAAAAAATTAAGTCATTTTCATAATATTTAAATGTGACAATAAATTTATACTTTAGACACAAGGTAAGCTTTTGGCATTTGCATATGATGCTAATAAATACAGTAGGACCATGAAACAGTTTGGCGTAGTTATATTATAATTTAACAAAAAATAAAAAAGTTTTGGTGAATAAATTATTTAAGTAAAACGAGAGATTTTAAACAACAAATAAATATCCTACTTTCATCCGTTCAGAGATTTGTAAAATTATATTGTATCTTTTTTACTTTGATCATGCTCTTATAATTTATTGTTAATTTAAACAGAAAAAAAAAATAATAATGAACCCCTTATCAATTATGTACATTTTTTGTTATTATTTGAATTGCAAAAAACAAACAAGAAATTATCATTAAAAATTTGCGTGCATGAGTAATAAATAAAACAGTTTAATGCTAAACATAAACTAGTTCTTATCTGTAACAATAGTAGTGTCGTTTTGAAGGTCAGTCGGGAGGTCCACCAATCTCGTCGCTACTTTCTTAGCACCGTTGTCTATCCACAGTATTCTGCCGTCCATGGTCCAGACCTGATGTGGTCTGCATACTGCTTACTGAAAACTGCACTCAACACAGTTGTACTGGAAATGCATGTTGTAGCGCACCTGATGTGGTCTGCATACTGCATACTGAAAACTGCACTCAACACAGTTGTACTGGAAATGCATGTTGTAGCGCACCTGATGTGGTCTGCAAACTGCAATACTGAAAACTGCACTCAACACAGTTGTACTGGAAATGCATGTCGTAGCGCACCTGATGTGGTCTGCATACTACATAATGAAAACTGCACTCAACACAGTTGTTCTGGAAATGCATGTTGTAGCGCACCTGATGTGGTCTGCATACTACATAATGAAAACTGCACTCAACACAGTTGTACTGGAAATGCATGTTGTAGCGCACCTGATGTGGTCTGCATACTGCATACTGAAAACTGCACTCAACACAGTTGTACTGGAAATGCATGTCGTAGCGCACCTGATGTGGTCTGCATACTGCATACTGAAAACTGCACTCAACACAAGTTGTACTGGAAATGCATGTTGTAGCGCACCTGATGTGGTCTGCATACTGCTTACTGAAAACTGCACTCAACACAGTTGTACTGGAAATGCATGTTGTAGCGCACCTGATGTGGTCTGCATACTGCATACTGAAAACTGCACTCAACACAGTTGTACTGGAAATGCATGTCGTAGCGCACCTGATGTGGTCTGCATACTGCATACTGAAAACTGCACTCAACACAGTTGTACTGGAAATGCATGTCGTAGCGCACCTGATGTGGTCTGCATACTGCATACTGAAAACTGCACTCAACACAGTTGTACTGGAAATACATGTTGTAGCGCAACTGATGTGGTCTGCATACTGCAATACTGCATACTACATACTGAAAACTGCACTCAACACAGTTGTACTGGAAATGCATGTCGTAGCGCACCTGATGTGGTCTGCATACTGCATACTGAAAACTGCACTCAACACAGTTGTACTGGAAATACATGTTGTAGCGCACCTGATGTGGTCTGCATACTGCAATACTGCATACTACATACTGAAAACTGCACTCAACACAGTTGTACTGGAAATACATGTTGTAGCGCACCTGATGTGGTCTGCATACTGAAATACTGCATACTACATACTGAAAACTGCACTCAACACAGTTGTACTGGAAATTCATGTTGTAGCGCAACTGATGTGGTCTGCATACTACATACTGAAAACTGCACTCAACACAGTTGTACTGGAAATTCATGTTGTAGCGCAACTGATGTGGTCTGCATACTACATACTGAAAACTGCACTCAACACAGTTGTACTGGAAATTCATGTTGTAGCGCAACTGATGTGGTCTGCATACTACATACTGAAAACTGCACTCAACACAGTTGTACTGGAAATTCATGTTGTAGCGCAACTGATGTGGTCTGCATACTACATACTGAAAACTGCACTCAACACAATTGTACTGGAAATTCATGTTGTAGCGCAACTGATGTGGTCTGCATACTACATACTGAAAACTGCAAATTCGTCGTACAAATTTCACCCTTTTTTGCTTTTATGCATCTTTCCAATGGATACTTCTATCAACAGTGAAAAATTGTGATTGTAATAACACGAATGATTCGTCAGGTAAATGTTTCCAAAACGTTTGCTAGAAAGTATTTACCACATAAACTTTAAAATATATATCAGAATAGTAACAGTCAAGAACAGTAGCCTCAGTAGAAAACGTTAAGTAGTTTTATGTATGTAGTTTTACCACCTTTACTGTAAACTGATTAGTTGCATGTTCTCTGAAGTTTATACAATCATGAAATGTTCACCATTGAGAAAAAACTACTACTGTATTTATTTTTACATCAGAGTGAGGTAATGTCACTATTTTTTGCCCCATAAACGTCAAATGGATATAGATTGTTGAGTTTTTGATGAGAACGTAATAAAGATGAAAGTGTCTATATAACTCTAACTCGTTCATTAGCATAACACACTGTGAAAATAGAGCATGGCGCTACAAGAACATACTAGTGAGCTGTCAAATGTCATGTTCTGGTATAATATAGACAGTCCTGCGGTGCCAGGATAGAGTAGTCTGGTTGTCTAGTAGTGTGGTGGAGTTGATGTCTTTCCCAGGTGTAAATATTACTAGTATACGATATTTGTATGAAAATTTAACTGGAACGATATGTGACAAGAAACGGATCGATTTGTCTTCCGAGAATTGCTACTTTCCTCTGTTATGATTGGCGTATAGTAACTTTTATAAGGGTCCTTAGTGAATAGGTATTCCGACCTTCTGAGAAAGATTTTGCCATTTTTTGTTTAAATTTAATTCTATAAGGCCTATTTTAAACTGGACTACCAGTTTTATGAGTTGTTAAATTTTAAGTGGTATAGCCCATTTACTGTAATATATAGTAACCATGGACGAACTGTTCATCTGTGCTGTAACCCTGGATTAAATTGGGGATGTATTAAAAAAAGCATCGTTCAACGCTTAAGCAGTATTTCGTTTAAAGCCATTGGTAGCTTCGATTCTCCTACTTGCGCTTTGACAGTCAACGTTATCCAAATACTTGGGATATATGATAATGACGTAGGAATGTCAAGGATCAGCTGTAGTTAGTTGTATTGCTGTTTCATTTGATGTTTTCTCGAAATGTTTCTTATATGATAGTTGATGTAACATAAAATTAGAAGTATTTTCAGTTTGGACGGATTAAAAAGTTCTTAGGATACGAAATAAAACACTATTAGACTGCAGGATATCTTGTCAGTGGCCAAATTCAGTTACGAATTATTTTTTAATAAAATAAACGGTATCAGCATTCTGACACATACTTTCTCCCATAAGTTTGTCAACAACCTTTATCATGCGTAAGCGGTGAGATTAAATAAACGGAAATGGAATTTGTACAATTTTCTTCAGAATTTAAAGGACTATAACATACTAAATTTTTATCAAAATCGTTCGAGCCAATTTTGGGAAAATCTGATTTACCGTTATTTTATGGGGTTTTTATGGGAAAATAACATAATTTACAATAACTTTTGAACCGTAATTTTTACAGAGATAAGATTTGTACCATTTTGTTCAGAATATAAAGGACTATAACATACTAAATTTTTATCAAAATCGTTCGAACCATTTTAGGGAAAATCCTATTTTTCCGTTATTTTATGGGGTTTTATGGGAAAATCTCCATTAAAAATCAAAATTTCTAAAAAAAAAAAAACTTTCAAAATTGTAAGAACTATAACATACTATGTTAAATCAAAACCGGATTTTTGTCTAAAATTCCATTTTTTGTTTTTTTATGGGGTTTTTATGGGAAAATAACATAATTTACTATAACTTTTGAACCGTAATTTTTACAGAAATGGGATTTGTACCATTTTGTTCAGAATTTAAAGGGCTGCAACATACTAAATTCTTATCAAAATCGTTCGAGCCATTTTTTAGAAAATCCAATTTTTCCAGTTTTTTATGGGGAAATCCCCATTAAAAATCAAAATTTCAAAAAAATGAAAAAACGCCTGGAGATACCATGGATTAGAACCTACATACCAAATTTCATCGAAATCGGACCACAGGTGTAGTCTCTAGCTCTGTACACATCCAGACACACAGACACACAGACACACAGACACACACACACACATACACACCTACGGGGTTTTACCGAATACTCGCAAACACCTAATTGTGGCATCTTTCAACCTGCGGCCACCAGTGGATGAAGGAAGGTGGTAGAAACATGTCTGCATCGATATTTTTAATGAACACTCCATTTTAACATCTAACATTCCAGTTTTTAAATTGTGGCACCATGCCACAAATCGGTATATATCAACAGTGTGTGGACAGGATGCCACTAATGCGTTGTAGTGCTTGAGCGGTGTGTGCGCCCCCCCTACTTCTCGCGTGCGCTGTTGCCAGTTCTCCGTTCTAGTTCCTTCATTCCGTTCTGTATTCATGTAGCTATGCCCTAGCCGCTGTAGCTCATTTCCCGCGCTCATGACGTCGTCTTTTATTAGTGTAAGGATTTTATATGAAGTTTTTTTCAAAGCTCCAATAATTTTTACAATTATTGGATTTAAAGTCAATGGACCAAATGAAATGTCGTGAGGATTACATAAAACTACATGCTATTTTGTTGATATTTTATCGTCACATTGTATGTATGGTTTACGAACTGAGATACTTGGAATAAAGGCCTTAATGTGCTGGGTAAATTATCAGTTTCATGGGAATCTATATATTAATTACGTAAGCCGATTCTTTGCGTCAAAATTGTGGGCGACTGGGAAGTCGTAGAACGACGTGAGAGGGCTCAAATTAAAGGTCTTTATCCCGTGACGGCGGGAAAAATAGTGAAATTCCCAAAATCTTAACACAAAATTAGATATAACGTACAATGTTTTCCATAAGAATAGCATTAGAAGGCATTTACTGCTGATTTTTGTTTACTTCAATCCAGCTGATCGTGATTTTATCATTAAGTAAGCTTACATTTGGATTACTCATTTGCCAGTCAATTCTGCAATGTAATGTATAGGCTACTATACAGGGTGATTGATATAAGTGTGCCAGCCGTTTTATTCGAAAACTATCAGAGATATCAAAAAAAGTTAAATGGTAAGTGCCTTGGATTTTTTATTAAAAAATTTGTCGTCAAGTCAAAAAAATTATTTTAGCCGCCATTTTTCCAATATGGCCGCCAACCTTGATTTTTCTTATGCAACACCCTGTATTTTATGATGTATTCTGGTAGAAAATGTAATTTTAAGACGATTTCATTCTTGTAACTTTTTTCATAAACCTAACCGTTTCAAAGATAATAATGGTTTAAGTTGTGAAATTTTGAATGGATTTCTAATAAAACAGCTGGCATGCTTGCTTAGGCCTTAATCGAAATTCTTTCTCATGCAGAAATTTCAAAACTTTAACCATTATTATCTATGAAATGGTTATGTTTATGAAAAAAATCCCCGGAATAAAATCGTCTTAAAATCACATTTTATACCAGAATACATCATAAAATACAGGGTGTTCCATAAGAAAAATCAAAGTTAGCGGCCATATTGGAAAAATGGCGGCTAAAATATTTTTTTTGACTTGACTACAATTTTTTAAATAAAAAATCCAAGGCACTTTCCATTTAACTTTTTTTATATCTCTTATAGTTTTCGAATAAAACGGCTGGCACACTTATATCAATCACCCTGTATAAAACCAACTATATAAAGGGATAACGTTACCTTTAATAATCAAGACTTTTTAGTTATGTCAAAGTTGAAATAAATTGTTTTCAAGATTTAAGAAACGATTCCAGATTAAAAGAAGATCTTCTTTGTTTTTATTTCAAAACATATGTAAAAGATTTATTCCAATTTTTTTTTATTTACTAACATTTATATTTGAGATTTATTGTATTTCGTTTTCTAAGCGGCCGAACTAGTGTTTAATCAATATTTTGTATCCGCAAAATAGTTGGTAATTAGACGTTGACTAGGCCCTTTTTTTGGTAGAATATGTAAATCAATCGCACCTTTAGGAGGATTAACACCACATACTTACACTAGGCTAATAGTGGTTTTTTAATGTTGATCACAAACAAATTTAGGTCCAAGTTCTGTCAATGGGATGCCTTTACTTAAGAATAATTTTGTTAAACCTTTACAAAATGAGCATAGACTTAGAAATAATAACTGGGTAGGGTATCTCAACACACCATTTTTTGCCTTTTCTTATTTGACGAAGACAATTTCCAATACTGTATTTCAATCGGGGAAGCCTTGTTATCAGCATTAACCAAAAAACCAAAGCTACCTTAGTAAACCAATATTTATTCATAAACATGTTTGCTGCCTTTAGCAGTTAAACTCAGGAATCATTCAAATTCTTTATTGAACATAACGTTATCAACAAAAGCAAACAAAGACAAACAACAAACTGTTTTGTTTTTTTTTGCACAAAAGATATGTTGTAGTGGGATATCTAGGCCTATCCTGACATATAGATAATTTGATTCTGAGTTTGTTTAAATATTCCAACAATAATTCCTTTTCCGTAGCTTTTTAGGGACTATGTCCCTACAAGCCACTAGTTTACATTAAAATACGCAATAAGTATGACTCCGTTTTTTCTGTATGCATATAATTAATTCATGGTAATGTAAAAGTATGTGTAACGAATTTTTCACCTCACTATGATGTTTTTAGCTGTTTTACATACATTTAGCTGGTTTATATTGGTGGCTGAAAGTTACGTTTTGCTGGCCATGCCAGCTGTCATCGTCATATGGGGACCGAGCAGGGGTTTACATCCCTAGGGCCGCAAATTCAATTCAATTTTGTCCTAAAAAATGTATACACATCTCTAAGATTTGTTGCCAACTAACAAGCAATTTAAATTAAAAAAAAAAACTATTGTTAATCATCCTGCAAAACTGCTAATAATTCATGATCAAATTTTCATCAGAATTCCGTTAGTTTAAATCAACGATCACATAAGACCAATAGATGGAGGAGCACATCTATATAACTAACATACAAGCAGTTGAAGCCAGGTCCGCCATCTTAGTGCAGGTTAGAAGTGGTAGATGCCAATGAAAACGGCACCAAAACTCAATGTCCAGCTTCAAAATAACTTGACATTTAGACTAAAGGTAAATCGTTGACACTTCGTGTGAAAGATGTCAATTAGTCTAGGACACTATTGGTTCTAATTAAAAGCTCAAAAGTTTATATTTTCTATTTTAAATCTTGAAATAAAGTCGGTACTTTTAAATGAGTTTTTAAATATGACATAACAAAGTTCGTCGGCTGCTACTGTTTTTATTTCTTCGTCAGGTAAGTAAAAAAACGGTGGATTTTGTGGCTAAAGAGCTCAATTTCTTGGATAATATTTTTTTTTTAATTTTTATAAAGGAGAGTTGTATAAAGAGTTTCAGAAACCATCTTGTGACTTTGAAAATTTTTACATTGTAAACCAAACGCTAAACCTTTAACACACTTTAATACGATATAGATACATATATTATAAATTAATTTGTAGCTTTTTAGAATTTTTCTTTCGCCCAACAAGTTTTTGTAATTATTGTTAACTAACTTTTTCTAAGATACGGTAAACACTAGGAAACAAATTAAAAGCGTATTTTAAAGGCCATTGTTCAACCGTCATGAATTGTTACATACCAACCTTTAGGGCCCATTGGTGACATTGGGGGGTGGAAGTCTAAATTTAGTTCATTACAATTACGTCAATGACCTTGAGCTCTGCTAGTAAGATGCTGTGGTATGGTAGCGTGTCGGGGAGAAGGGTTATTGTTAGTAAGAGGCAAGTCTAGACTGGTCCTATGTCTGCGCGGTCCATCACTAGTTACTTTCTTTACTTATTTTTTTTGAAAGCCTATGTGTCGATTATGTATCTTGAGCAATGTAAAATCAAGATGACGTTGTTCAAACTAAGATATAAGTTTGGACTTCCTTGTGTGACCAAAATAGTTGCCTACAGAGCAACAGAAGAATCTACAATTTCTTATAAAATCAGTTTTATTGACATTTGCAGACAGTTTTATATAATTGTTTTAAGGAAACCCAAAATCTATTGGCAATCATAAGTTAATATGATTTGAACTTTTTGCCTTATACAAATGAAATACCATGTGCATATTGGTCCTCTGGTCCTGTTAATACAATTTTTTGAAGGGTTTCTTTTATAATTTAAAACTATATCATTGCACAAGCATTTTCAAGGACTCTCTGCAGTTTTGCGTACTCTTGCAACTACTAATTCAAGAATCAGTTTGATGACCGATTAAAAATAATGTGTTTATACGTTATAAAGATTCAACTGTTAAATATCATAGTTTTTGAGGATGGGACTGGAAATTTAGACTATATTAAAGATTTGCATTCATAGTAGAACATTATATACTTTAAGTAAACCAACAGAAAAAGATTGTTTAAAATTTTCAAGTTCATTTTAGAACAAACTGTTTGCTCCGCCTCCCAGTTAACTGAGAATTTCAAGAAGTAGAAACATATTAAATAAATAATAAGTGAAGTTAAATATATCCCACAGTGATTTTAAAAAACATTACACAAACTTCACGGATGCCAATATACTTCTAACAACCTTACTAGGAATTTCCTAAAACTGATATTGTACGTTGAAATAGGTTTATCTATCTATCTATTCTATTCTATTATATATATACTATTATAAAGAAGAGGGGGTGTCTGTGTGTGTGTTTGTATGAGCTAATCTCAAAAAATACTGATCCGACTATGCTCAAATTGCACACAAATGAAGCTACAGCTCCTAGGATACATATAGAACTATTACCGCTTCGATATACACCTAGGGCTTTGCCCCGTGGGCTTTCAAAAATCTGAGATGAGAGATTTAAAAGTAAATATTGATTGATGGTATCCATGGTAACAAAGAACAAACCTAGTAAGTTTAAAAATGTAAACAAGCAGAACTAACTGTCAAATTGATTTTGATTTCTCAATTCAACACAGCTGGTTCAAACCTTATTAAATACTGCACGAATATTAGAACAGAGAGGGTAAGGATTATAAATTTAAAATAATGATGTCACTAGCCTGAATTTATTTAACATTACCTAAAGGAGCTGTCAAACCATATGTTAATGTAATTTCATTATTATAGGATTGTTTCAGTTACAGTACTTCATTTGTTTATGATCTAACTATACTGAGTCTGTTATAATATTTGTGAAATGTTGTAATATTATTTATTATTTTTATAATAATTCATTTTAAAATAAATCATTCAATGGATATAGGAAATAATCAACATTCTATATTGCCCTATCAACCTAGGCCCTTACCCTGAGTTATGGGGTATATTCTTTTGATTTATTTGTTTGTAAAAAGTAATATAATCCCCCTGCCCCAGCAAACCTATAGACTGAGCCAATTCCCTTTTGCCTGATTATAATTTCACTAAAATATGTTAGAAAATTGCCCTATTAACATGTTTGGAACTATTGTGATAGGTTTTCGTTTACAGTGCATACCATTAAACACATTCTTTTATTATAGGTATATGTGTGCCACACTATAGGATACCGTATAAATTAAAAGACCATATTTTCTTAGACCGTTTCCTCTCCCATCACTGCAATGATCATGTTCTACTTATATGCCAACCCCGTACGAAGGTCGGGTATTCTACTAGTTATTAATAAAGTTGAGAATACTAAAGGTTCTACAAAACAAAACATTGAATGATAAAAATACATTTGTATGTGATTAAAGAATTTAGATACTGATGGATAAACTTAGATTGAACGATAGATGTAGATAGATAATTAAGAGAGAAAAACTAGATGATGTTTTTAGTGGACTGTATTTCTTTAAACTGAACAAAAAGTAAACATGATATAAAATAAGACCAGCTGTTAGAAACAGTGAATTAGAAAAAATAACTTTAAACATTCTCCCCCCCCATTGCACCGAAGGAGCAATAAATATTAATCACTGACTTCAATTGGAAGAGGACAAAGCTTGACTATTGGTCTTTTCAATGAGGTACTTGATGTTCTCAGAGTGGCTACTCGGGTAAGTCCATCACGACCTGGATGAAGTTCAGTCACTCTTGCTAGCGGCCACTTTGATGGTGGTAATTGCTCATCAACAACAAGAACAACTGATCCGAGTTTTATTGAACAGGAAGGAAATCTCCATTTGTATATTGCTTGAAGTTGTTGAAGGTACTCCCGAGACCACTTCTTCCAAAATGATTCCAACATTTGGCGAGTTAATTTCCATCGAGTAAGTCTTGATGTGGGTTGGTTTTCTTGATTAGGTTCTGGGATAGTAGTTAAAGATTCGCCAACTAAAAAGTGCGCAGGGGTTAGGATTGCTAGATCGTCTGGATCTTCTGTAAGCTGGCAGAGAGGGCGAGAATTGAGTACAGCTTCTATTTGTACCAGCACTGTCGAAAATTCTTCGTAAGTTAGTAGGTGGGTCTTCATAACTCTTTTGAGATGGTATTTAACTGATTTAACACCAGCTTCCCAATGACCTCCAAAATGTGGAGCAGCAGGAGGGTTGAATTTCCATTCAGTTCCATCATTAGCAAGCAGGGATTTGAGTTGACCTGATTCTGCTGAAGACGATGAAAACAACCTTTTCAGTTCTTTGTCAGCTCCTACAAATGTTGTCCCGCAGTCACTCGTTAAAGTAGCACAGATGCCTCGACGGCTGGTGAATCGTTTGTAAGCCGCTATGAAGGCTTCTGCTGAGTAGTTGGAAACCAACTCTAGATGAATAGCTGAGGTCGCCGAGCAGATGAACACCGCAATATAACCTTTGTAGGTTTTTGCTCTCTTTCCATGCCATGTTTTGATTACAAAAGGGCCTGCGTAATCTACACCAGAGTGCAAAAAGGGACGTGATGGTGATGTTCTTGTAGGAGGAAGCTGCCCCATTAATTGTTGAGCTCTTTGAGAGCGATAACGAGCACAAGTAACACACTTTAACAGTTCTCGTTTGACGATAGGTCTACCTCCAACAACCCAGAACTTCTGACGAACGGTTGCAAGTGTACAACGGGTGCCACTATGCAGAGTCCTGAGATGAGCATCATCTATCACTAGTTTTGAGAACTTAGAATTCTTCGGAAGGATATAAGGATGCTTTGAATCATATTCTAATGAAGATTGTTCAAGTCTGCCTCCAACTCTCATTAAACCAGTGTTATCGACAAAGGGGTTAAGACTTATAAGATTAGATTTTTCTAAAGGTCTGTTGTTTTGTAACCGCGCAAGCTCATTTTTGAAGGCATGTTTTTGAATGAGTTTTACCCACAACAAAAGGGATGAGTTGAGATCTTGAGGAGTTAAAAAAGATTGACAATTAGTAGGGATGGATTTTTTTGTTTTGGCAATGAACTTTTGACACCAGGCAGTAACACGTAATAGTTTTGACAGTGTTGAGAAGCGCTCTAGCATTTCTGGTTCTGGTTCAAAGTTTAAAATGTGGCAAGTTGATTGAGGGATTCGCAGTTCAGATTTCGCTGCTTGAGCTGGATCAAACGTCGTGGATGGCCATTCATAAACATCTTTATTCAGCCACGGAGGACTCGTCCACCAAAGCTTATGGTTGCTAAGGATTTTAGCAGTAACACCTCGTGAAGCACAGTCGGCTGGATTTTCATTTCCTGCTACATACCTCCACTTAGCGAGCGGTTCTGTCTCTTGTATAACACTTACTCTGTTACGCACAAAGTCTTTCCATTTTGAAGGTTGATTTGTGATCCAGGTTAGGGAAACCATAGAGTCCGTCCATAACCATGCTTGGGTAGATTCTAAGTTGAGCATTTTCCGAACATACTTTACAAGTTTTACTAGTAGTGTAGCAGCAGTGAGTTCCAGTCGAGGAATCGACATTGTCTTGAGAGGAGCTACTTTAGTTTTAGAAATAACTAAACTAACAGTGATATTTTCACGATTAACGATTCTTAGGTAGACTACAGCACTCATTGCAAGCTTAGAAGCATCTGAAAATCCATGAATTTCTACCGAAGATAGTTGGGTAAGACCAAGATAACGAGGTACTTTAACTAATGGCAAATATTGTAGGTCAGCTTCAAGGAGTTTCCATTGGTCTTGCAAGTGATTAGGTAAAAGTTGGTCCCAATGAATTTTTACTAGCCAAAGTTGTTGCATGAAGTGTTTGAACCTTATGATAATAGGAGAGACAAAACCCAAGGGATCGAATAACTGACCTATTTGAGAAAGAACGTTTCTTTTCGTGCATTTGTCTTTTGGACTTAGAGTAGGAAGAAACTGAAAATCGTCGCTGAATCGATTCCATGTAAGTCCAAGAGTACGTATACTGGAGGATTTGTTTATCAATAAGGAATTGCCTTTTTCGCAATTACTTTCCGATATGTATGATAGTACATTTTGATCATTGCTGATCCACTTCTGTAAAGGAAAACAACCTAATTTGCAAAGCTCGTCAGTCTGTTTTACTACTTCTCTGCACTCTTCAATCGAGTCTGCACCACCAAAAATGTCATCCATATATCTCCCTCTTGTCAACATTTCACTAGCTTGGGGATATGCATCACCGTGATCGACGATAAGCTGATTCATTGTTCTTAGGGCGAGAAAAGGAGCGCATGATAACCCATATGTAACAGTCTGTAGTTGAAATTTTCTAAGATGACCATTTTCCATCCAGAGAATTCTTTGAAGATCTCGATCACTAGGATGTACTAGAATCTGGCGATACATTTTCTCGATATCAGTGGCAAATACGAATTTATAGCGCCTAAACCAAGTGAGAATATCAGGTAGTTCTGTTTGGAGTTTTGGACCACTGTAGAGTACGTCATTCAAAGATAATCCTGAACTAGTTGGGAATGAGGCATTGAAAACTACTCTTAATTTAGTCGTCGTGCTAGAAGGACGCAAAACACCATGATGAGGTAGGTAATATATGGGAATGGTAGAATCTATTTCTTCAATAGTTTCAGACATGTGACCAAGGTCCTTGTATTCTTCTATGAAATTAGTATACAAGTTTTTGTACTCAAGATCGTTTGAGAGACGAGTATTTAGCTTTGTTAAAATTTGAAAGGCTGACGATTGAGATTCTCCAAGCTGATTGACTGTTTCCTTCAGGGGAAGTCGGACTTGATAGCGACCGGAAGGTTCTCTAGAAAAGGTTGATTGATAATGTTCCTCACATACTTGATCATCAGGAGACTTGACTGATTCTTTAATTTGAGGAATTTCTTCCTGTACCCAAAATTTTTGAAGAAAAATCATCAAGTTTGTTTTCAATCAAGCAATGAAACATTGATGAGGTAGATTTATTTTCCGTCATTCCAGTAGGTCCAGACAAGATCCAACCGAAAATTGTTGCTTGTGCTACTGGGGAGAGGGGTGGACCTTTAATTAGACCAGGAAGGATAATAGACGTGTAGATGTCTGCTCCTAGGACTAAATCTACAGATTCAGACTTCATGAAGGCAGGATCAGCTAGTTGAAGTCCCTTTATATGATTCCACGATGAATGATTTGGTGTTATCGATGGCAAATTTGATGTGAGATTTGAAAGGATGTGACAAGATAAAGAGCAGCTAACTTTGGTATCATACAGAGAACTAAGATTGATTGAAACTATACCACGAGTGGTTGGGGCTTGATGTCCACCGATACCAACAAGAGATACTGAGGAGTATGAACGCTTCAGATTGAGAGTTTGTACTAAGTATTCACTGATGAAAGAGATTTCAGATCCTTGGTCGATTAAAGCTCTGGCAATAACACTATTTCCCTCAGGACCAATTACCTTAACTTGAGCGGTTGCTAGGAGCACAGATTGTCGATTAATTTCCTTAAATGGAAGCATGTGATTAGAGGAGACGTGTGAGCTTGATGATGTGTTATCTGTAGATGAGATGAATTTGTTAGGGATGAGAGAACTTGACTTTTTTATATGAGGTATATTTGTAGTCTGGCTAACAGCGTCATGAATTAGAGTGTGATGTCTTTTCTTACATTGTAAACAAGATTTATTTGAGCGACAGTCCTTTAACAAATGTGAACCAAGACAGTTGAAACATAATCTTTTGTTCACAAGAACCTCTTTTCGTTGACTAGGTACTTTTTCACGAAACTCCTTGCAAAATGCTAAATAGTGATCTTTACTACACAGTTGACAATCATTTCCTATATTGGACTGAGATTTTGCTACAATTTGTGCTGAATGTACTTTAAGATTTTGATGAGGTTTACCTTTACATTGTAGTGTAGTTACCGTTACATCGCTTGGTGGTGTTGCTCGTGACTCAATACTTTCCAGTGCTCGAATACGACCTTCGATGAAGGTCTGAAGATCTTCTAGGGTGGAGGGTTCTGTTGAGACTCCGTAACGAATCTCCCATGCTTCGTGTGTCTCTGGGTCTAGTCGTTGTACAATCATGTACACCAAGATGTGATCCCATTTATCTGTAGGAGATCCTAGCGCTTTGAGGGAACCTAAAGACTCATTGATAGTAGACATGAGGTGATTGAGACCACTAGCAGATTTATTTTCTAGAGGTTTTAAATTAAATATATCATCCAAATGCCTTTTGATTAAAACACGTTTGTTTTCATATCTAGTCACAAGTTTTTCCCAAGCTGGCATGAAATTTTCTCCTGTTATTTGGAAATTTGTTAGCAATTGAGCAGCATCACCAGACAAACTGGTTTTTAGATAGTGTAACTTAGCTACATCAGTTAAGTTAGGATTTTGAATCACTAGTGAAGAAAAAAGATCATGGAATGGTTTCCAAGACTGGTAACTTCCTGAGAATTGAGGTAGAGATATTTTAGGTAGTATAGGTTGATTTGATTTACTCATAGAACTAGATGTATTGATATCAGATGTGCTTTGATTTTGTTGAGAATTTACCGATAACTCTTCTAAGAGAACAAGCAATGCAGATTTGCTTACCATATATGCTTCAAGTGCTTGACTGTAGTGATCTTCATTTATGTAGGCTAGGTCTTTTAGTATGTCAGCTTTTGACTCACATATTTTCTCGTGATCCCTCTCGAATTTCCTCCATTCTGCTTCGATAACATCAATCCGGGTTTGTACTTGAGGCTTCAATATAGTTGTTATATCCTTTTCCTTGAAATAGTCTGTGGCTTTTTCTAAGATTTTTAAGCGTGTTGCTTGAAGACCTAGTTTGGATTCTAGGGACATAACTTCAACTGAGAACAGGAAATTTTCTTGATTACTTTTATAACTGAATTGAAAAAATAACTGTTAATTACTTATTTAATCCGGCTCGAAGGACCAAATGATTAAAGAATTTAGATACTGATGGATAAACTTAGATTGAACGATAGATGTAGATAGATAATTAAGAGAGAAAAACTAGATGATGTTTTTAGTGGACTGTATTTCTTTAAACTGAACAAAAAGTAAACATGATATAAAATAAGACCAGCTGTTAGAAACAGTGAATTAGAAAAAATAACTTTAAACAGTATGAAAGTAACAGATAGATTGACAAAATTGTAAAATGATCGTATAATATCTAACAATATCAAATTATTTACAGGATCACGGTTACAACTTTTAAACTACTTTTGTTATGACTCAATGTTAACCTCTTTAGGACCTTTCATTTTATGCTTTTGTTAGTGGGGACTGGTTAAAACACCACAGTAGGTTTTACAAATATGATTGTGAGATGATATTATAATCTGAACTAGATTATGCGTGTTGATAATAATATGTATTTTAATTTAAGTACTTTAATTGATTCGGTTATATGTTTACCTCATATAACATTTGAACATGGATTGAAACATTAGATGTCTTTGGAATACTCTGAGAGTGAGAAGCAAAACATAACTTTCAGCAATGATGCATCGAAATCTACCTTTACTGACTGATTCAGAAATGTAATTGCAAAATATTTTGTCAACATGACTAAAATGTAAAAAAAAATAGACGTATCAGCACGAAATAGTTTGTAAGATAAAAAAAAAAAACAGTCTAGGACAACTTATATAGCGTTCTAACCTCAAACATTGTTATCGTTTCAGTGTACAAATTCAATTGATACAAAATAACTACGTTACCAATTTATGTTTGTAAACAAAAATCAATTTTTTAATGGTTGCGTAATAGCTATTTACATTACAAGTGTAGTAAGAGCGTTTTTACTTCACGCAGGTGAATGTTGTGCAACGAGCGGAAGCGAGTTGCATAATTCACCTAAGTGATGTAAACAGCACGCTCTTGCGTAACGTGTAACGTACAAGATTTTACCTGACCCGACAATAAACATGGGTTTACGTACAATATTTTTCATTATCCATTTCACTCATCTTCTATCAGTAACGTTCTTTTACTAACAAAAGCTAGGTTAGGTAGGAAAATACTTTAAAGCATAATAATAACATTCAAGCGCACAGCTGATTTCTAGCGTTGAACATCGTTGGCTCCATAGAGTTATATTTTTTAAGTTAAGCACCCAATGTTATTTAAATTTTACATCACCGGGTGAGTTTTTGATACTTTACATCACTCGAGAAGTAAGGAAGTTGTATACATCACGCTTGGGATAGGGAAGTTTAACATGGCGGGTTAGGTAAATCAATTTAAATTATTATTTACTACACAAATTATTTGTAATGTAAAACATTGTTCACCACTCGGAGCAAAAGTATATTATTTATGGTACTTAAATTGTTTTATAGTACGTGGCAGTATAGTATTATTAGTTGCTTGTTGCACTGTTCTACACACTGCTCAAGCTCTACAGCTCATTAAGTGGCATCCTGTCCACACACTGTTGATATATACTGAATTGTGGCATGGTGCCACTATTTCGAGTGTAAGCTGGCGTGAGAATTGGCAACGTAGCATTAGG